AAAGATACATTTCTCCTTTACAGGCTGGCTTTTTACTTTCTGGCTCATAGAGGAGTTCTTTTTGCTCTTCAGTTCTGTTGTCAGCTTTCTGGACTCTGTTGCTTCATTCTGCTGCTCTCCTGTTAATTTAATCTTTAGGGGATCCAAGGTATATGAATGTAAACTCACATTAAAAAGTTCATCATGAGTATTCATGAGGCTTAACATTATCAAAACAAACAACCCAGTCAAAAAATGGGCAGAAGAACTAATAGATGTTTCTCCAAAGAAGACATACAGATGACCAAAAGGCACATGAACAGATGCTCAACACTGCTAATTATTCAGTTCAGTTCAGTTCAGTCACTCAGTCATGTCCGACTCTTTGTGACCCCATGAAGAGCAGCATGCCAGGCCTCCCTGTCCATCACCAACTCCCGGAGTCCACCCAAACTCATGTCCATCAAGTCGGTGATTCCACCCAGCCATCTCATCCTCTGTCATCCCCTTCTCCTCCTGCCCTTAGTCTTTCCCAGCATCAGGGTCTTTTCCAATGAGTCAACTCTTCACATCAGGTGGCCAATGTATTGGAGTTTCAGCTTCAGCATCAGTCCTTCCAATGAACACCCAGGATTGATCTCCTTTAGGATGGACTGGTTGGATCTCCTTGCAGTCCAAGGGACTCTCAAGAGTCTTCTACACCACAGTTCAAAAACATCAATTTTTTGGCGCTCAGCTTTCTTCACAATCCAACTCTCACATCCATACATGACCACTGGAAAAACCATAGCCTTGACTAGACAGACCTTTGTTGGCAAAGTAATGTCTCTGCTTTTTAATATGCTGTCTAGGTTGGTCATAACTTCCCTTCCAAGGAGTAAGCATCTTTTAATTTCATGGCTGCAATCACCATCTGCAGTGATTTTGCAGCCCCCCAAAATAAAGTCAGCCACTGTTTCCCCATCCATTTGCCATGAAGTGATGGGATCGGATGCTATGATCTTAGTTTTCTGAATGTTAAGCTTTAAGCCAACTCTTTTACTCTCCTCTTTCACTTTCATCAAGAGGCTCTTTAGTTCTTCTTCACTTTCTGCCATAAGGTTGGTATCATCTGCATATCTGAGGTGATTGATATTTCTCCCGGCAATCTTGATTCCAGCTTGTGCTTTTTCCAGCCCAGCGTTTCTCATGATGTACTCTGCATATAAGTTAACTAAGCAGGGTGACAATATACAGTCTTGACGTACTCCTTTTCCTATTTGGAACCAGTTTGTTGTTCCATGTCCATTTCTAACTGTTGCTTCCTGACCTGCATACAGGTTTCTCAAGAGGCAGGTCAGGTATTCCCATCTCCTTCAGAATTTTCCACAGTTATTTATATCTGTAGAAAAACATGGTCCAAAAGGATCCATGCACCCCAATGTTCATTGCAACACTGTTTACAATAGCCAAGACATGGAAGCAACTTAAATGTCCATTGACAGAGGAATGAATAAAGATGTGGTACATATACACAATGGAATATCACTCAGCCATTAAAAAAGAATGAAATGATGTCATCTGCAGCAATATGGATGGACCTAGAGATTATCATATTGAATGAAGTAAGTCAGTAAGAGAAGGGAACTATCATGACATCACTTATATGTAGAATCTAAAAAAGAAATGATACAAATGATCTGATTTACAAAACAGACTCACAAACTTAGGGAATGAACTTATGGTTGTCAGAGGGGAAGAATTTGGACAAGGGATAGTTAGGGAGTTTGGGATTGACATGTACATATTGCTGTATTTATGGATAACCAACAAAGTCCTACTGTATAGCAAAGGGAACTCTGCTCAGTGTTATGCGGCAGCCTGGATGGGAAGGGAGTTTGGGGAGAATGGATACATGTATATGTATGGCTGAGCCCCTTTGCTGTCCACCTGAAACTATCACAACATTTTTAATCGGCTATACTTCAATATAAAATAGTTTTTAAAATGCTATGAACATTCTTGCTACAACTTCTTTTCGTATGAACATGTGTATTTCTCTTGGAAGAATATCTAAATGAACTGTTTTTGCGATGTTAGGAAATTAGAGGAAGTCTTGTTCAGGCTTCAAAGCAGGAGAGCAGGCCTCTGAATTTGCTTCTAAGCTGCCTGGATTCTGTGCCTGTCTGCAAGCAAAGCAAATCAAGTGGTACTTCAGAGAAAAAAGGGGGTGAGTCTTGGAATTCTTGAGCCCTTGGAGGTCTGGCCACTTGCTTGGGGTTTAACGAAATCCTATGACTCATGAGGTGACACAAACAGCATTGTAAAAATGTTATAGTAAAACCAGAGCTGCAATTTTCCATGTAAACTGATAACATCAGTTTGTGGCCTGGGATCATAAGTGGGAGCCCTGGAAACGGCAATTTGAAGTCTCATTTGGGGAGTGGATGCACTGCCCTTCTCCTAATTGGGACTCCAGATTGCTGTTACTCGGGACTTCCCAGCACACTGTTTAAGTCTGGATGTTGGTTGGCCCAATTTGGTGATGTATGTGCTATTACTCTTCTCTGTTGTTTCTATTTCTCTTTTAATGACTGCATATTGAAATTAAGTTAAATAATCCTCTTCCAAATATTGAAATTGATTATTTGTATGTAACAAGTGTTTTTTCTTATTAAGGAATCCTTTGAATCTGAAATGAAAATAAAACTTCCAGCAAAACATGGGAACAGAAGGATATTTATGTAAATTTATGTTTAAATGTATAAGTAATTGTCAAATCAAAGTGATTATAACATTTACATCCCCAGATGAGAATTCTGGTCTTGTCCACATCTTCACCAAGATTTGTTATTTTCAGACTTTGTAAGTTTAGCCATGCTACTGAGTGGAGAGGTATCTCAATGTAGTTTTAATATCTATGATAGTGAACACTTTTTTTATGTGCTTACTGGCCATTACTGTATCTTCCTCTCTCTGAAGTGTATTTAAGCTTTTGCCTGTTTTAAAAATGGGTGTTTCAGTTTTTAGTACTGAATTGTAGGAGTTCACTATATATTCTGGAGACAGTCTTTGTCAGATATCTTTTGTAACTATTTTTCTCCATTGTAACTTGCCTTTCTACTTACTTATGGTATATTTCATGAGATCACTTTTTAATGTTGTTAAAAAAGTTGTTTTTGCTGTATTTTATAGTTATCCATAATACAGCAAAGTTGTTATCATTGTATTTTTTACCTATTTCTTTCTGTGTCATATTGAGAAAACCTTTGCTTACTATCAGGTCACAGGATAGTCTCATGTATTTTCTTATAGCATGTTACAGTTTTAGTTTGTATGGTTTGATCTATGGTCCAACTCAAAATAGTTTTTGTGTATATTGCGAAGTAAGTATTGCAGGCTTTTTCACTACATAGATATCCAGTTGTTTCAGCACTATTTATTGAACTGATATTCCTTTTCCCATTGAATTGCTCTAGTGTCCTTAAAAAAATAATTTGCCCATATGAGGTGGGTTTGTTTTAGATATCTCAGTTTAGTTACATTTATCTATACATGTATGTGGCTTATTGTTTTGCCTCTGCCATACTATCTTGTTTGCAGTAAAAAACAGTTTGGTAGTAAATCTTAGTCTTCCAGGTTTGACTTTTTCACACAGCTCAAGATATTTTGAAATGTGTATACTGAAGCAGCCACCATGCAAATCAAGGTATACTGTCACTTAATTTCTCTCACTTAATTGCAGGATACATGCCTTCACATATTATAGCTGACCTATTAGCCAACAATCCTCTATTGCAGCCTCCAAAGAAAAATCTCTAACTACCTCCAAAGTTGACTGAGAGACAAAATTATCTGTAACATTCAACAATGAATCTAGGTTTTTCTTGGAAAAAAAAAGTTTGTTTTCCTTATGAACAGGAATAGAACGTTTGCTATGCAATTTTCTTTATTTTTGGCTGTGCTGGGTCTTTGTGGCTGTGAGGGTTTTTCTCTAGTTGTGAATGGGGGCTACTCTCCAGTGGAGGTGCACGGGCTTCTCACTGTGGTGGCTTCTCTTGTTGCAGAGCATGAGCTGTAGGTCGGCCGGCTTCAGTAGTTGTGGCTCGTGGGCTCTAGAGCACAGGCCCGATAGTGGTGGTGCACAAGCTTAGCTGCTCCCCAGCATGTGGGATCTTCCCAAATCAGGGATCGAACCAGTGTTCTGCATTGGCAGGTGGATTCTTTACCACTGAGCCACCAGGGAAGCCCCTGATATTTTCTATTCTTTGTAAGGAGAGTCCCTTGGAGGGCTTCTACCGTAACTTACTAGGCTGATTGTTGAGTTTGGGGTTGCAAATTAAAGGCTGAAGTAGAATTTACTTTTATGGTATAGAAAAGATAATGGGAAGATGCTGAGGAAAGTCTTAGGGAAGAGTAAGCTGGAACTAGAAAGCTGGTATTAGGTTCTTGCTTTGGTTGACAGATTTCATTGAATGAGGAGTTAGATGCTACCTATCCAAAGGGGAAAAAATACTGATGGAAAAAATAATATTAAAAGTCATTTTATTAGGCCTTGTCATTTATATATCATCTTTCCTTTTCGTTTTTGTAAAATTGGCATCAAGAGGGGCCTCAAGTGTTTGTTACATAACTTCTGGAATGTGTATCTCCATTTAAAACTACTAAAATTAAAATATTAATTGTGGACATCCTAGATTTTTCTTAGGTTCCACTAAGAGTGCATTTAAAGTAGGCCCAACCTAACGGACAAACCTACCTGGCTGAAGCGTTGTTTCTGGGTGTGTGTCATTAACAGTTGTTGCTTTCCCCAGTGTATTGTTTTTCGTAGATCCCGCGCACCTGGAATCTATCAAAACCCGCCATAAACCGTTTCCTTTGCTAAGAGATTATAAAGTACTCTTGCCCCAAGTAAGTGAACTTTAAAAGTAGACGTTTCTGTTGCATCCTTGGAATTCATCCAAAGCCAAGGGGGAGAAGTTCAAGTGCTATGAGAAGTTCAAGTGCTGCCCATTCCGGGAGGAAGTGGGGGCGCTGCTTACTCACTGGTGGCCGGGCCCAGGCTGCCTGCTTTGGCTCCAGCTGCTGACGAGGACTCCACCCACCTTCACCGGCGCCGGGAGAACCTGGTCCCTGCAGACGCCGGCTTCATCTTCAGTGTGCTTTTAGATAAGGAAATCACCGAGGATTTCTCTTCCCTTAACGTATTTCCACCCCTCCGTCCGTCTCAAGATCTTTTTTGGATCCTGACTGGACAGGACGTTAAAGGAGAGGCCACCCTTCTCCTACCGGTCTCTTCCTGCCCGGACGTTACTGACCGTGAGGTCAGAACGAGGCGGGCAGGGACGCTGGAGAACCACAAAGTCGCCGCGTGCGCACGCGCGCACCTGCGCCTCGAAAGCTCCAGGCAATTTGACTCCACGGTGCCAGAAGCTTCTCAGCCAGCCCCGCGCGAGGTGTGGGGCTCCAGATCCTGAAGGAGTGGCTGCGCTGAGGCAGCGGGGCCGTCGAGGACGGGCCTGGAAGAGGCAGATCTTGACCCGCGGAGCCAGAAAAGCTTCAGTTAAGTTCAGTTCAGTCGTATCCGACTCTTTGCAACCCCATGAATCATAGCACGCCAGGCCTCCCTGTCCATCGTCAACTCCCGGAGCTTGCTCAAACTCATGTCCATTGAGTCAGTGACGCCATCCAACCATCTCATCCTCTGTTGTCCCCTTCTCCTCCTGCCTTCAATCTTTCCCAGCATCAGGGTCTTTTCAAATGGGTCAGCTCTTCACGTCAGGTGGCCAAAGTATTGGCGTTTCAGCTTTAACATCAGTCCTTCCAATGAACACCCAGG